CGCGCTACCGGCCGCCCCTGACACAAGCAGTGACTTTAGCGTCAAGTTTGTCGACACGCGTGACGGCAGCGGGTTGCAGTTGCAAGGAAAGGTGGAGCGGCACGAACTGCAGATAAATGGCGACACAATGGAAATCTGCGGTGACGTTGTCGAGAGCCTCGCAGTGACGCTCGTTATCGAGGACGCGTCAGCGCTGTGCCACTTCCCAGAGGAAATGTGCGAGCTGCAGGAGACACTGCTCCGTGTGGAGGAGTTCAACGCAGTACGGCTTAAGCTGAGCAGCAATATGGCCGACGCAGCAGCGAGCGTGAAGCCGCTGCTCATCCGCGCGGAGGACTCGCGGTTGATATCTGACATCAGCAACATGCGGCGGTTTTACGCGCAGCTGTACGACCTCGACAAGGAGCTCATTGCCGAGAACATGAAGCGCTGTAACAACTACGCTGAGCTCAAGGTGTCGCTGAAGCAGGCCAACGCGTACATCATGAAAGCGGGAAGACTGCGCATTGGGCAGTCTAAGACACGCCTCATCGCAGAGTGTCGTGAGTGCGTCAAAGCGGGCGACATACGGCCACTCATCAACCTTATCCGAACAGGCCAGAGGTGAAGACTATATACAATCAGAAGAAAAAGAGGAAGGCAAAAAAACAACAACAACAACAACAAAAAAAAACAATAGTCTCATTTTTTTCGCGTTCTCACGGATGGAGGATTGTGTGACATAGGTGCTCATTCCCCTTTCCCCAATTTGTGGTCACTCCCCACTTTCTTCCCCGTGTTTCTTGGCCCTTATAATTTTACCTCCCGCTCCATCTGCTAATATCGATGAGCCGTGGGAAGGTGCGAGTGATAGAGAGGAGGTAAAGTAGCGAGTATACACGGGTGTTAAACAGGCGACTGAGTAATGCTTCGTCGGCTCACGCGAAACATTCGTCTCTCTAACGCAGCTGCGGCGCGTTTCAACGCCGCTGCATCGTCGGCTACCCCAACAGGAGCAGCAGGAGGAAATGCGGGTGCGGGTGCAAAGCTCAAAAAGGAGTACTCGGAGGCCAAGGGGCCAGTAGAGGCGCCGGTGCTGGACCAGTTGGTCGGCTACTACGTTAATATTCAATCACGCAAGATGTACTACAAAGACTTCCTCCGTATTGAGCATCAGGCGGTGCGGTGGGCCTTCGCTGATATCCGCAAGAACAGCGAGGCTCTCGCACACGGTCTTCTGCAGACGGGGCTACGGCCTGGACAGCGTGTGTTGGCAATCCAGCCATGCAACTGCGAGACATTTGTGCTGCAGCTGGCTTGTGCGAAGGTGGGCGCCCTGCTGGCGGTGGTGCCGCATCAAAACATCAGCGCGGACAAGCTTCGCTTCTACCTTAATGAGTTTCAACCGAACCACCTCATCGCCCGTGAATGGATGGTTGTGCCCGAGATGAAGCAGGGTGTGCTGGTGGAGCGCAACATGCACTTCTGGGATATGATCTACAACGTTATCCCTGAGCTAGGCCTTTCGTATCCGGGGCAAAAATTCCAGTGGGTGCACTCCCAGGAGTTTTTTTTCCTCAAGAAGGTCGTCATCACGGACCACAACATGAACCTTCTGGGCGTGACACCGATGCGCAAGATGCTTGTATGGGGCCCATTCTCGTACTACGAGCAGCGCCTGCGCCGCCTTTCCGCGCTGCTGCACCCTGATGACCCGGTCCTGGCGCTGGAGGACCCTCACCCAGCGGTGGAGGACAAGCTGCACATCACCTTTTCCCACCGCAACTGCATCAACGCTGGCTTCCTTTTTGGGCAACTCATGAAGCTCAAGGCGGAGACGCGTTTCGGCGTGATGCCAAACCACCACACCGACCCAGTCGGCTCCATAATTGCTCCGTACGCGGCGCTGACGTCAGGGGCTGTGCTTGTGCATATCCACAGCGACATGTTCACCGATGACCACGCTATCAACGGTATCGAGAAGTTGTGTGTGGAAGAGGTGGAGGGCATTCTGGGCAAGAAGGGAGATTTCGATCTCCTGCTCCGTCACACCGGCAACTTTGATGCCGACCAGTTCGAGCACCTGAAGTGGGTAGCGCTGTTCGAGGACGCCAATGAGCCTCCCGCCAGCGACGAATACTGTCAAAGGATAGCAAAGGAGTTCGGCCTCGACGACGTGTTCGTATTCCGTGGTCCGCTGGAGAGTGCCTATATGCTCACGTGGCGTTCACTTAAGCGGGGGCAGTGTGGACTGATACCACATGCAGAGGCTAAGGTTGTAGGGGACCGCGGCACGGCGGACGCAAAGATTCTTTCCGCCAACACACGAGGGAACTTGAAGCTGAAGGGGCCGCACATCTCTGCAGGGTACTACAACAACGCCGGGCTGCTGACGGAGCTGGTGGATGAGCGAGGGTTCTGCAGCACCAGCCGTGAGGCGGTCATGGATGAGAAGGGTAACCTAACCCTGCAGCGGACCCAGATTTACTAGGAAACGGGCATACTGTTCATCTGTTGGCGGGGAGAAAAAACAACAACAACAACAACAACAACAACAACAAAAAACAAGCGAAATCAAAGCTAGTGGTGCCCATTGAATCCCTCAGAACATGATTTCACTAGCTACTGCAGCGGCAGCAGTAACACATTTCGGTCTTCCCTTTCGATTTAACTGTGATTTCGAGGGATCGATGGTGGTTTGCTGTTTATCTCGGTTTTTTTTTTGTTCTCCGTTAACATGTGTGTGTGTGCGTGTGCGTGGGTGGTGTATGTGTCTGCGGGATGCCTGTAGGGTGGGGTGTAGGGGGTTGTGGGGTGTTGGGTGCTGGGGGAATTAGAAGTAGCGCTCTAGTCTGTAGGCAGCCGGGTGACGGCCTCGGTGTGTTTGCGTCAGGCAAACAGTGAACAAATGATCCCTCTCCTAATCGAATGATGCAATCAAACAAAACATACAAGCCGATGTTGGGGTCAGAGCAGCTCCACGACATTATGGGCCGAAGGGACGGTACTGACAGAGAAGCCTGACCTTGGTGCTTCTCCCCCTCCGATGTCTCAGGTGCAGATAGAAGATTTTTGGCCAAATAGAATTTTATGCAGGGTGATGTGCTGGCGAAACAGCGTGCACCGCTGTTCACCACTCCGTCCCCTGCCGGTCCCGACACCGCAGTGGAGAATATGCTACCGGAAATCCTTGCATTTTGCCTCGCAAAGTATCCCGACAACACAGATACAGCAATGACGAACGCAGAAAGTTTGTTACAGAAATACAGGGGCCAAGAGAAGGATCTGGTGTCCATACTCCACGCAAAGTACGGGCAGCCGCCGGCCGCGACGTGGGAAAGGGCGCGCGGACTCGTGGACACGCGTTATGGCTCGATATCACGGCGAGCGCGCACGGACGCGCCGCTGCCGTTTCTGCACGCCGCCACTGTCACCGCCACCACCACCACCGCCGACGACCCCATCGTCGCGCGCATGCAGCGGCACCGCGAGCTCGAGGATGCGACGTGGCNCCAGGTGTACGCTGCGGCGAAGGCCCGACTCGACTTGCTTAGGGAGACACAGCGGCGCGTGGCAATGCAGGAGGTGGAGTTGGCGCGCTATAGCGCTGAGCTCGCACAGCGGGCACGCGAGCTGCAGGAGGAGGAGCGGGCGCAAGGCGCTGCCAAGGAGGAGCTGGCGGCAACAGTGACGCGCTTGCAGCTGACATTAATGCGGCTGCGCAGCGCTTTACAGGACAGCGATGGGAGCGTGGAGAGACTTAGCGACATTGAATACCAGCGGCACCTTGCCATTGTGCAGGTGCAGGAGGAGGAGGACCTCATTCAGGTGTACAGGCGTGTGTTGCTCCAGCACGCCACACTATACCCGCTGAGCCCGCTGTGCGCGGAAGTGCAGCGCGTCGATGCGGAGCTGTGGCAGTTGATGAACGAGCCGCCAATGTGACCGATGGGGAACTCGCTCTGTATAGGATTGTCCATCCCTCCCATCTTTTTGTGATTTGCTTCTTTCCTCAGCAGTGACCCGTTCTTCTTTACACCAAGGCAGACGATCTCCCTGTTTTTTATTTATTTATTTCTTTCTCTAATTCTCACCCGCACTTATATACACGCGCTGCTTACACACTCACAAAGAGAGGGTGAGAAGCGAGGGGAGGAAAGGGCAGAGAAAAAAGGAGAAACTTTCCACGCATGACGCTGGCGAAGAAGAAGTTGGCGCGGCGGCAGCGGCAGGAGCAGCTGAAGGAGCGTGAAAGGCTCATCCAGTCGCGTCTGCGCCTTGCAGAGGAGGTGGAGGTGGAGTATGTGCTACCTGATGATGACGAGAATGAGAAGAATAATGAGCTGGGTACCGCACCCGCTCTACTCGCCACCGGTGATGCACAGACCAACAGCAACGACGCTGACGACGAGGACCGCGTGCAACTGCCGTCCGTCAGCGTCAGCGAGGCGCCGAAGCTCACAGGGAAGAGCGGGAGGCGCCGGGAAAAGATCCCGTGGGAATCACTGAAGGTCACCGTGGCAGAGCGCTACGGTGCGGCAGCGAGTGCCGTTGTGGAGGAGCACGACGGTAACGCTGAAGACCCACTCTTCACGGTGCTGCTCAAGTCGACACGCCGCACGGTACCGGTGCCGCGGCACTGGAGCCAGCTGCGTGCGTTTCTCTCGAACCAGGCGGACCGCGAGCGGGCGACAGAGATCGTGCCGCCGGAGATCGCCACTCTCGGCGTAGAGCGGATCCGCGCCACACGCGACAAGAAGGCCAACCCCGACCAGATCGCCTTTGTCACGTGCTTCATTACGGGTACCCCGCTGCGGCGCAAGCGGTTCCACGTGAACATAAGCAGCTTTGGCGACATATTCTATGAGGGAAGGTGGCTGCCGCGTACACAGCACGAGCCCGGCGTGCTCTCGCAACGGCTGCGGGCAGCGCTGGGGATGGGGCCGCACTCGCCGCCGCCATGGCTGTACGGCATGCAGGCGATGCGGCGTCTGCCACCGGCCTACCCTGCACTGAAGGTGCCAGGGCTCAACGCGCCCATCCCACCAGGTGCGCAGTGGGGAAACGGGGAGGGGCAGTGGGGACAACCGCCGCGCAACGAAAACAACACGTTCCTCTTTCCTGGCGTCATGGACGAGGTTGCGGTGGAGGAGGCGCCGCCAGTGTGTTGGGGCACCGTCCCACCCCTGGCGGCGACCAGCGGCACAACAGTTCTGCAGAGCTTAGCGGATGCATCACCCCCACCGCCAGCAGCAGTAGCAGCAGCAAAGGGGGCGCCACAAGCGGCAGCAAAGCCGGCTGTCATAACTCCTGTACCGTTCCACCCGCAGGCTTACACACCAGCAACCGCAACGCGGTACATGCCGTCTGCCCCGCAAGAGTACGTGCGTGTGCAGGATAGCACGACAGGGGCCACCGTCGCGCTCGGATCGGTGTTAGTGCCAAAGACGGCCGCTACATCGGCGCCACCTGTCGCGCCTTCGCAGATGCCAGACAAGCGCCCCGCACCACCACGACCCCCGACAAAGTTCTAAATGACGAACAATGACGACAAAAGGCGGCATAAAATCAGGAAAGAAGAAAAAAGGAGAAGCACGGAAGCTGCCTTTTGCCCACATGCGTGTATTTGCCTCTGCACATGTGTCTGCTTGTTTGTCCCTACTCCTGTGAGTGGAACGAAACGGTGCTTTTGCTTCTTCTTTCATCAATGCCGTGTCGGGGGCCACAATGCGACGTCGTGAGAGATGCACACATCCTTCTTTCCACCTTTGTTTATACTTCGCAGGACTTCTTGTCTCTCAGCCAGCCTTGCATGCCTTTACTCATTTATTCTCCTGCCCACGCTATGTGCTTGCTTGTTTGTTTGTTTGTTTGTTTGTGTGTGTGTGTGCGTGCGTGTATAGGAGTGCCGATCGATAAATTGTGAGAGTGATGCCTCAAGAGATGGACCGCTGCACCTTCGAATACGCGGAGCTTAAGGGGAAGGCGTATTTCTCCGCTTTCGGGAAGGTCACCAAAGAGTTTCTTCGTGCTTTCCGCGACAACAAGCACTACGAAGTGATTCTCAGTGCCTTTCTCCAGCGTCTCTTCGTAGACCCGGAGAACATCAGCTCAGAGAACTACAGGCATTTGGAGACCACCTTGGTTGATCGCGTTAATGCCATCCTTGCCGAGGAGCGCGCGCACGATAAGGAGCGCCTCGCAAAGGGCCGCAAGCCCGTGTACGAGCTGCAACAGGACGATGAGGAGGAAGAGGAGGAGGAAGAGCCGGCTCTCACTGAGGCTGAGATCCAGCGGCAGGAGCAGGAACGTCTGGAACGGGAGCGGCTGGAGGAGGAACGCATCGCCGCACGGGAAGCGGAGCGGCTGCGCAACGAGGAGGCCCTGCGGGCGCGCGCCCGCCAAGTCGACAAGGAGGCGATGGAGAAGGTGCTGCAGCAGGCGGTGTTGCTGAACCCCGGGCATCTGAAGCCCAAGATGGGGGGCAAGCAGCGGCAACAGCAGCAGCAGGAGTCCGCATCGGCGGAGCGCCTGCTTGAGTTGGAGTCGCAGGTGGCGCACCTCTACAAGGAGAAGNGCAACAGCAGCAGCAGGAGTCCGCATCGGCGGAGCGCCTGCTTGAGTTGGAGTCGCAGGTGGCGCACCTCTACAAGGAGAAGGAGCGGTTGCAGACAGTGCTGCACACCAGCGAGGATGAGTTGCCCGCCAAGCTGGCAGAGGCGAAGGAACAACTCGCTGCTGGTGTGGCTAAGTTGAATAGTAAAGACATTGCCGGTGGAAGCGCGGCGCAAAAGTCGCCAATGCAACCTAAGCAGTTGAACGCCCGTCTCGCGGAACTGAAGCAGAAGTCGTCGAAGCTCACAATGGAGCGCAACCGGCTGGCGCTGCAGCTGAAGGCCCAGTCGCACCCGCTCCGCGAGGAGATGCTGGCAGTGATGCAGCAACGCGACGAGACGCAGCTGAAACTCGATCAAGCGTAAGAAGAGGTATTAACGAGAGAGACCAAAAAAAAAAAAAAA